CTGTTTTGTGGGTTTCAGCAAAAAAGCTAATGTTTGGGTATTCTAGGATGATATCCACTTAGTGAATACTATGATTTATTTTCAATTTTATTTAGTTTCCTGATAGCTTTCTTAAACTTTTTTTGTTTCAGTAATTATTTTCTGTTCGTTTATTTTCTTTACTTTGTGTCAGTATCGTTTAGCAGTAAATTGATTTTTTCATCGCATGAATTCATATCATTATGACAATTCCCGCTCCCCTTATCCGAAGGTGAAATGCAGATTCCCTTATTTTTTGCTGAGTTCCTTATATCCTCTAAGTGCCATCCTGATCATTTTTTTCCGCTGTTGCCTTCCACAGTGGAAGCGGGCATTCATTGAATAAAGTCTTAGTTAAAATCTCTATCATTTTGTCTCTCATTAAAAACTAATATATCAAACAGATCTTTACGAATACCGGTAGCGAATTTCAAACCGAAGATGACGGCTTCCAGTTCGGTATCTGATATATTTTCTATTAGATATGGTCTTCCGAAATATTTCCAGACGCTATTAGTACACTGTGGTTTGAGTTCTTTTTCTTAATTTACTGCTTTAGATGTCGCTTATTAGTTCTATAGTTTGTTGTTAATAAGTCATTTCTAACTTTGTTTAAACGCCGTTTTTGCGGGAATGGAGTTCAGCATTTCTAGCTTTTTTTAAAGGTCAATTTTTTACCTTCCAGTTCATCATTGGATGATTTTAAGAAATCACATACGTAGGTCGGAAATAGGTGATGCGATAATAATATTTATTTGTATCGATGGATGACGTTTTCTTCGCTGCACTTTAACAAGAAATTTTAAGAATTTTCCCCATAGAACAAATAATCAACACCCAAACCAATAAACTAAGGAAAAAAAAATCAGCACTCACTGTACTAATAGCAGATGGAAAGGTCAGGTTATATGCGATCATAGCTCTCCATAACGTTCTGTGTTTTGTTGCTGTATGTATTTTTTGATGCTTTACTATTTCTCCGTTTCTCCATGGTGTCATTCATTCAAGCAAATCTGTTAGGCAGATTATTGCATATTAACTTACCTTTTCTTCTTCACTGATTCGATTAAACTAAAATGCTACCCTTTTTTCTTCTTTTTTGAACGATTACTTCACCCAATAAAATACCCAAGAGCCACTCAAGATATAGGATTAGTGAATGAGATTATTGTAAGGGAGATTAAAAGAGAAAGAAAGAAGTGCACATCATGATGCGCTAAAGGATCAATATCGTTTGGCCGTGTACTTGAAGACACCAAGATTGAAGTTTTCAGGAAGGCGTGCTCTAGGAGGTTTATTCCATAAACTAAGAGCTATGGGGAAACAATGTCTGAGTAGAACTTATTCTTTATGAAAGAGACACGGATGTTTGCGAATGATTTCCTTCTGTGAAAATGGCATGGGGGTTGCTAGATATGAAGATCTCAGCTGGTAGAACTAAAGAAATGTAACCCCGTCCGAACATCTGACATTGTAACAGCGACGGAGTGATGAGAATCTAGCAACATTTCGTCTGGGATAAAGCTTGCTGGATGAATAAATAATTCATCGCCCACAAGGCGTCGTAATTGCTTTTTAACTCTGTCCACGTTGGACAGTGGGGACTGGAGCGTACCTACGCAGATATGGCACCAATAGCAGATTCTTGTTCTTTTTTTTTTTTTCTGACTCTTGTAAAGACATAATATGGTAGCAGGATTTAGGTATTTTCTGAAGCGATACAAGGAAACGACCATTCATTTGACATCTTTGAGATATAATAAATATGTGTTTTAGAAATGTCAGCTATATTTTCTAGAACGTAAATTATCTTGCGGCTTTTATTTTCATTAAAGGCATCTTCATTACCCAAATGCCGTGTCCATAATAATTTTAGTATTTGTGACTATAGCCACACCTATACCGTTTCAAGCAGCTGCATCATGGCAACACTGTTTGGTATATTTCTTCGAACCCTTGCATTTCGACACGACGATCTGTAAAATCCAAAGAAGAATCAGCAATATACTTGGCCCTGATCTGGCGTCTCGATTTCAGTTCCTTTACCACCGCGGTAAGGTTATCTCCCTTTGCCTTTTCTATAAATAATTTCATGGTAATTGTTCGGATGAGCTCATCGCTATGGCGCCTAGATTCTTTGTATTTAAGCGCAGTAATAGACTCGCGTCGAGATCTCATCAATTTACTGTTGAGCTGGCTAGGTGTAACCGTAAATTGTATGCTAACAGTATCTTTTCTCGAAATTCTAGCTAGGAAAACTCCCTTCCGGCTCCACGTTTTCCAGCCAAATTTAATTTTCAAAAATGTATAAGTAATGCCAATCGCTATCTACTGTCCTCCTGATTTTCTCTTCTCTACGTGTCGCTCCATAGCTAATTTTCCTGTTTTTAATCCTTCCTTATCCAGTATTTCCTTTTGTGTCTCAGTGGCTTTACTGCCTTTCTTGCAGTAAGCTCGATTAAAACAAAAAAAAAAAAAAAAGAAATATTTACACACGTTTAATAGATGCGAATATATTTATTCTCTGTATTCGCACCGACACTCTTTGTCTCTCTATTATCACACTCACACACATACCCATGTACATAAGCCAACATTGAGACAAAGCCCTCACGCATTGCGCACACACTGTAGGTTGGTTTGCAGAATTCAGTAAAACGTTGTTAGTGATTCACATAGGTTCCCTGTGTATTCAAAGTCACATACAAAAGACGGAAAACACGCCATCGAGTGCAGCAACCTGTTGATAGAACCTACCGGTTGCCGGTGATTATCGGTTACAATGTGCCAGATTCTATTTAATCATATTTAGTACATGGATTTGGGAATGAACGAAAGAAGGAATGAACCGAGCAGAGGAATATTGACGTAATGTAAAATCGATAGATCAATTTACTAATTCCGAGCGCTTTCAATAGTTCATTCTGGTCGTTTGTTAACAATGCTCTGCTTTCAACGACTTTAGCTTTGATTTTTTTTTTTTTTTTTGGCTTTCTTCCTTTCGAGGCTTTGATAAATTTCATTTTGAATTCATCCTTTTCTGTTCGCAATATATATACTTTTTTTTTACACCAGTGCAAATAATTCTGCTTCGCAATATCACTTGCTTTCCTCTTAATTTCGCTCTATTTTTTCTCCTCTTTTAGTTCAAATTATATTTCTACCCGTTTTTTGAATTTCATTTGCCCTCAATTTCAGATTTTGGCCTTCAACATGATCACTCTCTAATATTCAGTTTGTTTGTTTCTTTCTTTCTTTCTTTCTTTCTTTTCTTTTCTTTTCTTTATCTTTTTTCTCTTTTCTTAAGTTATTCTTAAATTATTATTATTATGAATTTTATATTATGGTTTATTCTCTCTCTCTATCTATCTATCTATTTTTCTTTTTTTTCTATCTATCTATCTATCTATCTATCTATCTATCTATCTATCTATCTATCTCTTTTTTCTATCTATCTATCTATCTATCTATCTATCTATCTATCTATCTATCTATGATAAGAAAAAGAACAAGTAGGAAACGTTTATTAATTAAAAATGTTTCGATTTTAACTAAGCTTCATCAGAAAATGAAGTTCGGAGGGGGAAAGAAATTTCGAGTATTTTTTTGTTCTGTGTTTGTTTTTCTCTTGTATACCGGATGGTATGAATCCGACATACACCAACATTGAATTATTGTAATCGAATACACAAGAATTATACACACGGACGTTACTTGAGAAGACAAATACAAATTTATTTTTCTGTTAATTTAGTTTACTGCATTTTTGTGTCATTGATTTTCAATGCGTTTCATTCTGTCTTCAACCATGCCCCCTTGATGATCCTCTTTATCTATTTCCCACCACCCCCGCTTGGTATTTAATTATTTTTTATTGAATATTTCTTTCTTTCTCCTGTCTTAAGCTTTATTTCTTCTTTCTTTCTTTCTTTCTTTCTTTCTTTCTTTCTTTCTTTCTTTCTTCACCTTACTTTTTATTTATTTTTATTTTATGTTTCTTTCTTTTTCCTGTCTTAATCTTTATTTCTTCTTTCTTTTTTTCTTTCTTTCTTTCTTTCTTTCTTTCTTTCTTTGCCTTACTTTTTATTTATTTTTGATTGAATATTTCCTTCTTTCTCCTGTCGTAATCTTTCTTTCTTTCTTTATTTCTTTCTTTCTTTCTTTCTTTCTTTCTTTCTTTCTTTCTTTCTTTCTTTGCCTTACTTTTTATTTATTTTTGATTGAATATTTCCTTCTTTCTCCTGTCGTAATCTTTCTTGCTTTCTTTCTTTTTTTTTTTTTTTCTTTCTTTCTTTCTTTCTTTGCCATACTTTTTATTTATTTTCTATTCAATATTTCTTTCTTTCTCCTGTCTTAATCTTTATTTTCTTCTTTCTTTTCTTTCTTTCTTTCTTTCTTTCTTTCTTTCTTTCTTTCTTTCTTTCTTTTCTTTCTTTCTTTTTATTACTTTTTTTATTTATTTTTGATTGAATATTTCCTTCTTTCTCCTGTCGTAATCTTTCTTTCTTTCTTTCTTTCTTTCTTTCTTTCTTTCTTTCTTTCTTTCTTTCTTTCTTTCTTTCTTTCTTTCTTCGCCTTACTTTTTATTTATTTTCTCTTCAATATTTCTTTTTTTTTCCTGTCTTAATCTTTATTTCTTCTTCCTTTCTTTCTTTCTTCGCCTTACTTTTTATTTATTTTTTATTAATTAGTTAAATTTTTATTTCTTTCGCTACTATTAATTTTCATTTAATCTTTACTTATCTTTCTTTGTTTCTTTATTTAATCCCTATTTTTCTTTCTTTATTCTTTCTTTATTTAATATTTTAGTTTACTCATTCATTATCTATATATTATTTATTTATTTATTATGTATTTTGTTATTCATTCGTTACTTCTATATTTATTTATTATGTATTTTGTTATTCATTCGTTACTTCTATATTTATTTATTTATTCATCTATTCATTCATTATTTTTTCATTCATTCATTTATTCATCTTTAATTCATTCATTATGTCTTTATTCATTATTTCTTTATTCTTTCCTTCTTTATTAATTCATTATTTATTTATTCTTTATTCCTTTCTTCACTTAATCTTTATTAATTTATTTCTTCAATCTTATTTAATTCTCAATAAAAAATGTTCCTTTTTTCTTTAATTCATGATGACGCTGACACATTTTCATTTTTTTCTGCTGGAGAAATGATAGAAATTTTTTCTAGCCCCCACCCATTACAAAGTAATTTAATGCCCATATTTTCCTGCAGATACACCTAGTTTGTTTCTTTTTTTTTTTTCAATTTTTAACTTTCAATCTTCACAGAATATTTTTCGATGAAAATTATGAAATAACCGTCGACAGATGATGCAAGAATTAGTAATTAAGCTAAAAATAAAGAAAGAAAAAACAACGATGATTTTTATTTTACGATTAGGAATATTTTCGCGGAAATAATTTTGAACAGAACAAAAATACGAAATTAAATTTATGTTAAACTTCTTGCGATTTTTGTACTTAAAAATTCTTAGTATTTTACTTATTATCTACTATATAAAACAACAGTGAACGCCTCTAGACTTGAGATTAAATCGTTTGAATCACAAGCACAAGACCGTACCAACTGGCGATGTGCCATCGCTATTGGAATCAAACATTTCTATGCCATCAGAAAAGAAAAAGCCAAATGACGAGAAAAAGGCATGACAAAATCGACATCGTCCTCCACCAATTTTACCATTCAGTCAATGTCATCCGCCCTTCCATGGAAGAATTGGTCTATTTAGTCATCAACCCCATCAAAATGAAGGAAGCGATCAGAAAAGAAGTAATTAGATCCTTGGGTACGAGATAAAGCCGAAGACGAAGTAGTCAGCAAATTAGTCAGCAAAATAAATCCTGAGTGGAAGAACGGAGTTACTGAAACCCCGGCAAAATGTTTCCTTCACTTCGAAGACGCTTATATGTCGAAAGATGGTAGTGACCATGTGTAGTATTCAGAAGTAATTCAGAACTCTCTTCCACCCCTGCTGAGAATGGAACAGTCGACTGTAGACATAAGCAGTTGATTTTTTCCGCATGTATTGATAACGTTGAATAAAGCTTATCTTCAAGTTTTTCGGACTTTCTGCATGCAAACAAGTAAAGTATCATATAAAAGAAAACCAATGTAGTTCAGTGTATAACTAATAATTGTTTGAAAGACAAAATGTTGCTACATCATTGATTGTACTCTCAGTTAAATTTTTCAAACACTATTTGTGCATCGAATTCAGTTTGCAGACTGAAGCCAGAATGTCACTATCGATTTATGGTTATTCTTCTACGCCAAATAGTCTAAAGAAAAATGGCAACAAAAATACGAAAGTAATTATGAGACTTTATGAAACCTCAGACACCTAGACACACCAGCTTGAAGAATAACACAACTTCACCTTTCGTTCACTCGATTAATTTCTATTTCAGATTCATTTTAAAGCTTCAGATTTATTTAAAAGCTCACTGTATGGGCTGAAGTTATTGTCAGTATAACAACAGCAGCCAACATATTGAGCGAAATATTTTCAGTGACGAGTGAGTCTAAATAATACGGAGGTAAATTTTAAACTGATAATTTATTTTAAATTGAAGTATATTACACTTTAATAATCATTATTGATGATAAAATTATTTAAATTGGAATAACATTTGATAATTATGTAGGTACCTAAAAACAGTCACGAGTTTAATTTATGAACAAAACTCAAACGAATAGATGTCAACTTAATAATCAACAAGAAAGAAGTTTAGGAAAATAAAAAGTATTACTAGATGTACAATGAATTATTCTTTCAATGTACTTTCTATGAATTTTTTCCAATCGACTATTTCATAGAAAATACCCCAAACTCCAACAAACATCAAATTAAATTCTTCGTAGATTTTTTAGACATTTAGATTTATATCAAACTTTAACCCCCAAATATACCCTTTAAAGTAATCCGAAATAAAAGCGTCTAAGAAATTGAGTCAGCCCTTCTCTCGTCAGGATTGTTTTATTGTATCCTTTTTCTTTTATGTCGGCTTTCCTCTTCACCACTTACCCATACATATCTAAAGATAACATAAGTTAAGTGAAGCGTTTGTCTAGCCCACACCAAGTGGGGTTAGGGATAAAGAATTGAAATGGTACATCTAACTCATTCATGTCTTCTCTCTCCCCTCACTTCCTAACTTCGTCTTACCTCCCCCCTCACTTCCTCACTTCGTTAATTTACATATGCTTAATACGGCCCGTCAAAAATGTGTAAATTTCTTTTCATTTTTCATTTCAACCTTTGGAAGTAAAGTCTGATGACCAAGAGCCCTTTAAAAGGGCTGTGGTGAAATAATTTATTACATGGAACCTTAAAGTGGTCTGTTTTTTATTCAAACATATTTGCCCTGAATTTACATTGAGCTCTCCGGATATCATCTTCCTTAGGTCTACCCATACGGATTGATTACCTAGTTTTGCATAAACTAACTAACTAACTATATATATATATATATATATATATATATATATATATATATATATATACTAAAAAAAGAAGAGATGGTCCGCAAAAGTTTTTTGGTTGTAATGTGGATTTAAAAAAAATATTATGCTTTATTTTTCATAATTTACTCCACGGGTTTCTGGTTTCGCGACCGTCATCAGGCTAAGGGTGGAGATTTCCACATATTATTAAAAATAATTAATTTTTTCCCTTTATGTTTTTCGATGTTAAATATTCTCGATATGAGACATTCTCTTTTTCTGTGTTAGTGACACAAATATCTTTCTTAAACTGGCAGTGAAGTGTTCTGCGTGAAGGGGTATAAAACAATTAAGATTGGTCCGAGAAATGGAGTAGTTATCGGCATTCTTATCTTTTAATAACCGCTGTGTATTCTCAGATCTATTTCTATTTTCGTGTTTTGTCAGCATGCGTGTATATATGTGTATCCCCTCTCCATAAGTACACACTGTCTTACTACAAAGAATCAGTGAACTCACCTGTACACACACATACACATACCGTCCCATTATAAGGAATCAGTACATTAAAAAAATGCACATTACAACCAAAAACGTTTGCGATTTCTCTCTTCTTTTTAATATACACACATTTCTCTCGTTGGAACTACTATAACCTCTTCCTTATTTAAATATATATATATATATATATATATATATATATATATATATTTTTTAAGCTGTGCTATATTGATGGGATAAAGTGCTCGATATCAGACATAGAGCGTATGTAAATATAAAATGAACACTGAAGTCAACACTCAGAGGCGACAGGCTATTTCATGCTAGACGCAATACTCTATCGTTTATCTATCTATCTATCTATCTATCTATCTATCTATCTATCTATCACCAATCCCTATTGCAGACGCTCGCTACGGCATATTTGTGTTTGTTCAACACCCACAGAGCCAACCTACTGCAACTATGCTGAGCATACCTTAGTTACAGTCTCTGGGAGAGAGCGTGTTTTTTTAGCGCGATCATCAACATGAACAAGACCAGCACACTCAAACGCTCCCTCACTATGACTTGTGACTTCACGCTAGCACAGCTATCGACGACCCCCAAACGTTCCGTCTATCCAATTTCACTCACAAGGCTTGGGTCAACACGGGTATTGTTTTCAGGCACTTTCCAAGTGGCGGCGCACGCTGAAATCGCCCCCCCCCCTCCAGACCGATAACATCAGGAAATCTACTTCCTGACAAATCAACCGTGGTGAGATTCGAACCCGGGTTCTAACCACTCGGGCACGCGCCCATATATATATATACACAAACGCACAAACATATATACACACACACACTCATGTATATATATATATATATATATATATATATTAATTAATATACATATTACCGCTCACTGATAACACGGTTCGAAGATTCATGCACAACGCAGTTGTGAGGGGCTGAGTATATAATCAATCCATACTCAGCAGGAGGAGTAATAGATAGCAGCTTGGATTGAGGAATCGGAGAGCCGAATTCGAATTCCAGTCGAATCCATTTACTTACGTGCTAATACCCTTGGGAAAGGTATGAATCCGCTTCTCCCTCCAGTTATGGGTAAAATAGCAGGACAGGCTGGGTTCTATAGCCTTGGATGGCAACTGGTCTAGGAGAAGGAAAACTCTGAATTCAAAACCTGCGTTTGGGGACCTTGTGGCATGTGGTGCACCATGTCTCTGTAATCGGCCCTTCTAAAAGTGTGGATGGTCTTGCACGAAACCTTCACCACTATAATCAAATCTCAAGTGCTATACATGCGGGTTTGGGGACCGATTGCGGATTCCAAATTCCCATGAAACTCCAATATTGGAGCCGGCTCAACCCACCCCAGGTGAATGTCGTTACAGGTATAGGTACAGCACCTGAATGAGTCTCATGGTGATTACGTAGGTGTTTGAAGTGATCATTAGTAATGGCAACGTTATGGTTCCATTCATCTTCCCACAGGATCGCAAACTCAACACGTAGGGCTATATCAAAAACATTGAGGAGGTAGTGCTGCCCTAAGTCAAGAAGGTGGCTACTGGAAGGCCATATATCTGCTAACAGGACTCGGCACCATGACACACAAGCAGGAGAACACAGTCATGGCTGTCAGATAATTTCTACGACCAAATTAACCCTTACATCTGACCACCTAACTCTTGATTATTATGTATAGGCGCAGTTGAGCGAGTGGCCAACAAAACTCCTTGTAACACCAACGTAAACACCACCCAGAGAGTTGCAAAAGATTCTGAAATCCTCTGTAGGCCGTGGTAAAACCAATGGCGATTTTATTGAATAGATTTACTCTTTACTATATCAAGACATTTTTGTGAAATTTTTGTAAAGATATCTCTTAAAATGAGATAATGTTATTGTTGTGGTAAACCCTCTTACAGTATAATTAACTCTTCTTTTCTCTCATAAATACAAACTGCGAGAGTCTGACGGGACCGCAGATTGTGATGTGGAGTGGAGTAGTAGACGCAGTGCTAATCTACTTATTACTAACACTATTGTTTTGTATATATCTTCAATATACTTTTTCAACCTACCTTCGTCTTCCGTGTCTTTCTTTCCGATTCCGAAACAGGCCACAACAGTTATTTTCATTTTTGCATAATTTAGACGACAATATCTACCGCACCCTGTACAGTCTACCTGTGTGATGATAATTTCTCGGACGGCTGTATTTCCAAAATATTTCATCAAATATCTGAATTGATTTAGTAAAGTGCTTCTTGGTGGTGTTCAGAATATTTCAGCACCCACTCGTTTGATAATAGATTGAAATGAACGGAGCACAGCTAATCTGAACGATATCATTAGACAAGAATATGTGGTCCTGTTGATTTTGTTCGTAATTATTCTGCGACATTAAAGTCCGCCTCCATCTTGCCACATCAGATGAGCTGAGCAATAGTCTAATCAGCAGCAAAGGAAATACATAAATGAAATACAATTCTTCGGCGACACTTATAGCGCAGTATATACGAGGTCAGACAGAAAAATAAACCAAGCATTGCTATTTTATCGTGAAATTTTTCTGCGGCCTTGACATGAAATGGAAACCAATTTAATGAGACATTACTGCGCATGTGTAAAGTATGATTGGAATTTCTGTAAGAAATGTTTTTTTTTTTTTAATCTAGTGTGATTATTTTAATAAACATTATTTATGATTTTTCTACGAATACTTTGGGAGATGATTCAAGAAACGAAGTCTATATGATACTTTCAAACAGACACTAAAAAATTGCAAATATCTTTTCTCAATCTTGAACACACGAAAATACAAAGCGGGTTCACTGAAATCCGAAGAAAAATGGTATTAGGGAAAAATATCTTCCGGAACATAAACGCAATTTTAGTGTCATGGGTCCTAAAATATAACTACAGAATGAACTTTTCCTAACACTATGTATACGACGCCTTTCAAGAGAGAGGGTCGAATCGAGTAGAGCCGTTTTGTCTTGACGGTCGAACTCTCTGCCTCTGAGCAGAGAGGAACCCGGACGAGGCTCCGCCGAAGAGCAGAGTCTCGTTCGGGGAGGCTGACCAACCCGATTCCGTTTTTACAGTTTCTACAGGCATTTTTTGGCCGAGCCTACGGTCTCGGAAACCCCACGTAAAACTCGGCCTCGTGGGGGGCGGCAAGTAAATATAGAATCGAGTCTAGCCGTTTCGGCTTGACTGTCGAACTCTCTGCCTCTGAGCAGAGAGGAACTCGGACGAGGCTCTGCCGAAGGGCAGAGTCTCGTTCGGGGAGGTTGTCCAACCAGATTCTGTTTTTACAGTTTCTACCGGCATTTTTTGGTCGAGCCTATGGGCTCGGAAGACCCACGTAAAACTTGGCCATGTGCCACATCTTTCTCTGGGGGGGGGCAAGTAAATATCGAATCGAATCGAGCCGATAGTAGTTCACTCCAAACCATACTGACAGTCATACTAACACCTTCCACATCTTGTATTATTATTTCGTGCAATATACCTTCGTTGTTTCTACTCTTGTGTTCGTGTTGTTCTTCCTTGGTCCTAACCTGGACCATAACAATTAGGAAATAGGAAATGTTCTTTCAGAATCAAAGAAATGTTTCTTATACTACTATGTAATATCCTTTCTTTTATATGGCATTGACTGTGAATAGACGACTGGCAGAAGAAGAATAGACTAGAGACATGAAAAATATGGTTCGAATTGAGAAGGCTAAGAATAGCATAAATCGAATAAACGAGAAAGTTCTAAGCAAAATAGCAACAAAAAGAAACTTTTACTTTAAATTCAGAAGTAATTCTTTGAGATACAAATTTAATTCATTCCAAGACCGATTACATAACTCACAAGATTCGTATCTCAAATCAATTTTCCTTATTGAAATTAATGGGAATATTTCCAATCCGCTCAAGTCTACTAAAAATACACCACTGTTTTTTATACTTGCTTTATTTGGACTCATAGTCTTATTAAAGGAATTTTGCAAAATAAGGACAAAAAAGACACAACACACCACACCAGAAATCCTTACAGAGTAGACGTGAACACGTGTATTGAGGATGCTTAACTGAAACTCGCTCGGATCTCAAAATTCAGCTCGTATCTCAAGATAAAAAAAGTCGGCCCCACTCTGGCTCGTATCTCAAAAAAAAAAAAAGAAAAAAAAAAACTCCTATGTCGGTACGTTCGTATCTCAAGGTATCAATGTAGTTTTGGGATAAATATAGCACGTTGTGTACACGAAGCTCATGGGTGAAGTCAAGAGTGACAGAGTAAAACGGCGAGGGACATAGAAAACGAGATTGTGTATATGGAGTGGAAGGATAGGAAGCAAGCAAAAGTTTCTAAGAGCTACAGATAACAAGACGTTGTGGAGAGCCCTGATCATCCACGTGCTAAAGGGACGCGTTAAATAAAAGAAGGGCATCGGTTCAAAAGAATGTAGTGAAACCATCTAGCTTTTTTTAGATATATCGAACAGCGTCTTTTTCATTTGCCGTGCAAGGATCGTTGACAAATATTACGTTATGCATATTACATCACAATATGAATTTAGAGCGCTTATATTAGTGGCTTTCAATAAAAGTACTAAACCCCTTCTGAAATAGAGATTATCGACCAAGGATCACATTATGCTGCCGATGGCGACCACTGAAGTCGATTTTTCTTATAACTTTGAAATATATCATACTTATTATAAAACCCAGGTTGTCTCTCTCTCTCTCTCTCTCTCTCTGTGTGTGTGTGTGTGTGTGTGTGTGTGTACGTTTATATATTGGATCGGATTTTCTAAATTTTTCAACTGATTTCAACAAAACTTCACAGGACTACGTAAAATTATCTTGCGGTGGTTGACAGCACCAAAAATTGGAAAAACACAATTGTTTTTGCATGTAATCAATTTGAAAACACGATTAAAAGACATCGCTGTTTCGAGAATGAAAGGGGGACAACTCACATCGAGTTATACTTATTATAAAACCCAGGTTGTTTTTTCTTGTGTGTGTGTATTCGTTTATATATGGGATCGGATTTTCTACATTTTTCAACCGATTTCAACAAAACTTGACTTCTTTTTTGGCAGGTAGTGTTTCTTATTGTCTTGCACACTTTTTTTTTATTTTTACATTCAGAATGCTTTTACAAATTCCATTTACAAGACAATTATTTATAATAAAATTCTATTCAATCGGTAGACTCATAACGATTGAAAACAATGTTTTTGTTTGAGTTTGGGTTTGACCAATTCGTAAAAAAACAAAAAAGAACAAAAAAAAAAAAAAAACTAATTAAGACATGCGTGTCCGTCAACCTTAAACAATAATCTTTGTCAATTTTATTTTTCAGTTTTTATGATGGTCGATACTTGATCTATCTCTTACTGTTACATCCCCGTCGGGCTCTACTGTTAATCTATATATAAAATTATGCGACTTCCGTTAGTCCGCCCGTCACACTCTGTAAAATATCTATACATTGACCGACCAAAATCAAATTATGAGGTGAAGTGCGATCATTTAAGGTGGTACAAATACAGTATTAATTTTTTATTTAATATAACTTTACGTAAGCTGCCTAAACTGGACGAAATCGGTTGATTTCAAGCGAAAACAGCCTGGTTTTCACTACTTTTTAGGTTTTTTCGTAAATTTGCAAACACCAATTAAAAAAAAACATAAGAATCCAGTTTCCAATTCACGTTGCTTTTGCGAGAACTATAGGCAAATCACGTCCAAACGCTTCAAAAATTTGGAATTTGGCACCTGAAAGAAATATTTACGCATTTACAGTTGTACGTTGCATGCTCAAGAGTAAGAAATACTAAGAATTTATTCTTTGCTGTTAAAAAGAAAAAAAAAAAAAGAAGAAATCTTATAGTAAGTATTATTCTCCATGAAGTCCTATAAAATTTAACTAAAGAAATTATTAAACCGGGATGTAAGGTTTATGTCAAAATAATTTTCCAAACGAATCAGCTTATTCAAAAGTTCATCGATTGTTTTGGGCAAATGAACGAAACGTAGAGTTTGTAAATCTCTGCAAAATATGTTATCGATAACTTCAACCGTACTAAATACTTTGAGGATTTTAACAAGCATTAGCGTCTTGCAAAATATTTCTTGTGTGTAAAACAGTGTTACTCAATGATGTAATGGCGTTATCTTCATAAATTGCACTTTTAGACTCTATATGAAATATAGTGTTTGATTTTTCATTTCAAACTGTTAAGATCGCAGCGATAGAGACAATATTCTCTCGGGAGTCTGTGAGATAAATTACCAGTCCTGAAAAAGAGACTGAGTGTAACTATCTTCTTACCAATGGAATACAGAAGGAATGATTAGGAATCGACTGTGTCTGCTACAGGACGTGTCCAAATTATAATAGTTTAAAATGCTGGACATAGGGAATATAGAGCGTCTGAATATTTGATATGAATGTAACGATAGATTAGCGAGAGGCTAGTAACGTTTCGTCTGTGGAAAAGGGGTTGTAAGGTATGAAATAGTTCATCACTCACAAGGCCGCGCAAACGCTTTTGACCTCTCCTATGTTTGGACAGCGACGACTGGGCAGCTCCATTTGTACTCTATTTTTGGTCTAACGTAACCGTTGTAAATACGTTGCTCATGAATTCCCTTCCCATTCACTTCTCGACTCATCAGAAATATATATGGCCGATTTTCTAACTAGAAGCGAATCTTTACTATGTGATATACATAAAACTCCGTTTATGGTTTCCTCCCTCATTTCCCATTTAGCTAGATCTCCACAAGCTATGCGGTCTTTAAAATATCCCTGTAATTGTTTCACATGAATATGCACCTTATCTGGTTGCTTTTCTCAATAAACTCTACAACAAATGCCATTTTGCTTCTTTCATTCCACCTCGTTGCAAATCGTCTCCTGCAGTTCCTGTCTTTAAGAACACGGGTTAAAAGTCTGATTCACGAAATATTGAAATAATATCTACCTCTTCCTTGGCACAGTATTAGAAGCTGTAATCAACTAATCAATTGTTTAGGAATCACACTTCGCTCCGTTTTTCAGACAAACAGTATGACTTCAGTTTTTCTTGATGAACCGCCAATGTGTTAACGGTTAACACTGAAAATGTCTGTCACGATTTAAATAATATCGGCGTTATTTTAGATATTCCGAATGTTTTTTGACAGGGTTTGGCATGCTGGACATTTTCTCAAGGTTAAAGGTTATTGTGTCTCCCGATGAATTTTTTATTTGATTAATGATTCGTGTAATGAAAGTAGTTTGTAATGGCTACTCTTCTTGTTCCTTTCACATTAATGGAGGTGTTCTTCAGGGTTCTATACTTGGAAAGACTTTTTCTTTCTTTTCTTCATCAACAACTTCAACGATGTCATCAGTTATCACTCGTTATCTCTGCTGAGTACACAACTATTTAATCTTGTCTCAATTTTAAATCTGACAGAGTTGATGTGATAAAACTGGCAGCTGAAAATTACAGATCATTCTCGAAAATAATATGCACCCATAAACAATATGCACCACAACAAACGATTTAAAAATTAAGGAATATATCAATCCCTATGTATAAAACGTATCTATAAATTTTGTCAAAAAAAAAAAATTACGAAGACATTTTATTGACTTTGACATTAAGAATATAATCGAAACTAACCGACTAAAATAATGTTGAAAATTACCATGCGGTTTTCCCGATAAATATAACGAGCAGTGTTGTCTCACGACCGCCATGGATGGCTTGGAAGATGACATCCTTTGGCAAGAGAATGAAGAGGACGAGAATAATCTTGAACATGGCGAAGATTATCTGTTTAATGACAATTTAGGTATTCATTCTATAATCGAAAGTGATGATGATGATGATGATGATGATGATGATGATGAAAATTAAAATTTCAATAAATAGTTTGCTTGATATCCTCTTTTCTTCGAAATTGACCTTTGTATAATTTTTTTTAATTTTTCGATAAATAAAAAATGCGGTTACTGATAAACAAATTTATTGACAAAAAATGTTACAATTATTATTGTTGGATTTAAAATGAAAATTGGGATAATATCTTTCTTATATTCGAACAAGTATTTATTTATCATTATAAATCAATAACGAAACATATATTTTTGTTTAAACCCATTTATAATACGCACCCCTACTATCTCTTGTAATTTACAGTAAAAGAAATGCGCAATTTTCGAGAGATCACGGTACTTTCAGTCTGTTGTTAACTTAGGCAAGAAATGATATGTAAATTGTAACGTGTCTAAAATAAAACTGCTGTATTTTAGTGATCTTAAACAAGCATTTCTGCTTTCCATCAGCGCGAATTATGCCAACCTCAAGGAACGCAACTTATTGTCTCATGTTCATTGGTTATAAATAGAAACCTATGATAAAATCTGGATTTTTTTTTGTAAAGCTTTAAGTAAAAAAACTTTTTATCAACATATAAGCAATACTGGGTTTTTATAAGATATTTTTATAATTAATATCGCAGATATGTCATATTTATTTAAAAACAGACTACATCATCCCCCAGCACTAAATTATATTTATCATACTAATTCGAACTGTTCTTAAAAGTTTTTATAATTCGGTTATCTATTTAATGTCGTTTAATGTCGTTCTCATAATTTAAGACTGAACAAATTATCCACTAGTATGCTGAAGAATGTCGGATGGTACAACAGCCGAAACGTTTTGATAAGAGCAACAAAGATGAGGGCAATAGTCCGAATGCATATAGTGTAAATATCTCCTCACCCAAGAAATTCAGACAGAAATTTAGGCGATTTAGTTGTGAAAAACTGCCATTAGAGAGAGCCGACATTTACAAATGGCTATTCCATTATCAGAGGATTTATTCACAGAGACACGGCAAAAAAAAATCTTAAAGAGAAGAAATAAAGGTAAGCATATGAAAAAGGCTAAAAAAAAAAAAAGAATTAAAGCAAATAGGAAAAGAATTAGAATGATTACATCGGAATGTTGGAAGAAAATAGCATTGATGGATTTTGAAATGTTAAATGCGTCTTATAACAAAAAAAAAATATCTTTTTGTTATTAAATATTTCTTTCGGAAAAGATTTAGCCTATTTCTCTTTATCGAAACGAATGCCACTGCCTGTCATGCGAGATATTTCATCGTTTGTTTTATTTTAGTTTTTGCGTTTTTGCGATGTTCTCGTTGTGTACGCATGGTCTAGACGGCCATGTGTACACAACGGGTACTGCACACAAACACAGAATTTCCTCCTTTTGTAGAGTTTGATAGCTGACTCATTGCTGAAGAAGGCGCATATATAATTACTTGAACATCCTGACGAGTAGACCGAACGATTACAAAAAGTTCGTCTATGAAATTCCAGAGCCGTGTTGCTAAATATAACACTAATTAGGTAAGTGAAAAATTTTATTTGTACAAATCGTATATCTATCTATCTATCTATCTATCTATCTATCTATCTATCTATCTAAACTGTTACATTGGAGTTGTATGTTCCAATGTAACAGTTTATAATAAATAACTTCTTGAAAAATTTTATTTGTACTAATCCTATATATGAAAACTGTTACATAGGAACTTGTATGTTCCAATATAACAGTTCATATTAAATATTTCTGGCTCTACATTTGGATTTTTTTAAAATTAATGTTATGAACGTTGAATTTATATTATTTAATTATTTTACATTTGTGCGTATATATGTACCTATATATATATATATATATATATATATATATATATATATATATATATATATATATATATATATATATATATATATATATATATATATGTATATATAAGTATATATAAGTAATTATATATATATATATATATATATATATATATATATATATATATATATAAGCATCTATATTTACATATATCTATAAACATCACTGTTTTTTTTTTTGAACTGATAACTCTTTGATTTGCAATCAACACCATCACTTGATAACACACCAGAAATGTTGAAACAAAATTATTAATGATGTTATAACATGCATATATTATAATTTTATTATATATATATATATATATATATATATATATATATATATATATATATATATATATATATATGTTATATGTCATGTTAAGTGATTATTACCGAGAAAATACAAATAGTGCGAGTGTTATTCGAAGTCGTCTGACACTAGTATTGTTCAATATTATTAGTATTGTTCGGCGTTACTACAGTTGTATCTGCGATTATAATGTCTCAACTAGAGCATGCATTACGAAAGTGAAACGAGTATTCGTTGACATCTCAAATTGGGAGAAGGTGTATGAAATAAGTCAGTGAATATTAACTCTATGAAGGAAAATTAGGGACATCATAAAATACGAAAGAACAAATTTAAATTTAAAATTAAAAATGGATTTAAAAATAAATTTAAAAAATTGAAATATATAAGGTAACGAGGACTTAAGTTATTAAAGGAAAGAGAATTATTGGAATATTTTATGCAGAGGAAATTATAATTAATATAGCATGAATAGGTTTTAGAGGATATTGGAGTGAGGCGGGCCTCAAGGCAAAATTACACTATGAAAATTTGAATTTTTCTTTATATCGACATTTGATGATTTAATGGGGATGGGAGTTGAGGAGTGAATTAGGGTAGCTAATTAAGGCGAAATTATATTATGGGCATTTAAATTTATTTTTATGTCGACATTTGAACACTAATTCATTCCTCTGATCCAATAGTTGACTTTCTTCACATATTTTTTTTTATTTAATTTTTTTTCTTCTAACCATAAATTACACTTTCCATTAACGCTGTTGGGAGTTTATGCAGAGCCTATAATTTTCCGAAGTATTTGTGGGTTATAAAATCATAAAGCATAATTTTTCCTCTCCCCCCCCCCGGAAATATATATATATATATATAATAGCTAGGAAAAGACAAAATTTAAAAAGTAAAAAAAAACAACCAGTTTCGTCCCAGGACTTATCAAGTTTATTTTTCTTGGAAGAGAACATTTATAAAAGTGTGTAAATTGAATTAACGAATGGAATGGAAGATATAAAAAAAATTAATTTCAAGAAACTAGAGTCCTATACCATTCAGACCCAGTAAGCATTCCCTCTGTTTACAAAGGGAAGGCTCATGGAATCTGATATACAAGGACTCTAGAACCTTGAGGTGAAATGTGGAGTGGTATCTAGATAAAAATCAATAAAACGGTCCACCTTAAAATTAATCACACATTTCCTACTATTTATTAAATGTTCAGCAATAGCAGAGACAGAAATATTGGTTAGTTGTCTCTTCCTGGCAGCCGGATTTTACTCTCGAATCCAAACGCCATTTCTTTTATAAAAGTGTCTTATTCATTTTGTCTTCTCCTAGCTATTATTAAATTCTGTACCACCAAAATCTTATTTAAATATATATATTGATATAATGGAATATGAATAAACCTGTGTTCCCCACTCACTAGAATATGATTGGCTGGTATCCGTCATAAATACCGAGGGACGTGTAGGTACGACAGAGTCAAACAGCCTTAGTCTGAGATCTAAGTCTATAACGACGCCCATTGGACTACGCCATTGATCTACACATCTTACCTGCGACGCGTACCAGTCGATTACTGCTACCGTATTCTATTTGGTTATAATAGCGAAAACCACTTCGCTACTTCGTTGAAATATATCCCTTTCCGGGACATATCATATATATATATATATATATATATATATATATATATATATATATATATATATATATATGGGGTGGGTGCGCGTTTATAACTCAATTTTTTTTAATTGGAATGTTTTTTTGTTTTTTTTACTTATTCCTAGTTAATTGTAAAATAATCTCTTGGATGTCTATCAGGAAATTAATTATCGAACCACATGCCTAAATAAAGGGATTTTCCAGCATATTATTCCCTTGTAATCTGTCTGCATGTTCTTTTGCAGGATGAAAAGGGTAAGATGCAAGATGCGTATTGAAGATTTCAGAATCCAGAAGGTGTATCAATTTAACTATCTGGAAAATATTAAACAGGTGACAGAAAGAGCGACAAAGAAATCAAAAGTCGCATTGGGATAATAAAAGATGCATTTCAATATTAAAACACAATATCAATAAACGCGAAACTTTCAAGATTATAACGAAAAGAGTGCTGAACTACTATATTATATTAATATTTCCATAATACATAATAAAGATGATAAGAAAAAGATGCGGTTTTACAAGGGGATTCTGGGAATAACATATATGTGAATAAAGAGGACATTTTTAAAATTAGAAAAACAAATGAAGGTGAATATGAAAATATAAAACTCAAGTGATATATTGAAAGGAAGACGATCTAATGAAAACGGTGAGTAATATAATTCACAGGTTTTTGTAAATGGATACCAGAATAGTAATTGGTAGAGATAATAAGACGATAATTCTTCCAAATTCTTTATTCTATGTGTCGTTTCTCTCCAAGACGTGTGTGAGCATCACTTCTACACAGAGCTACTGAAATAGGTGGTTCTGGAGAGACATGACTTCTCAAATCCTGAAGAAAAAGAACGCATAAAAGAAGAATATTTTCCATATGGTCAGCAAGTAAATTCCCCCACTGAATAACAAATTCCAGGAAACGATTTTGCTAACTACAAATAACTATATCCAGATTCGATCGAAGGAGAGTTTCGGAGAGTAAGCATTGAACTCTCCACCGAGTCCATGTCCTTTGAGAATATAATGTTCCTTATTGCAAGCAGCAGGCGGCCTATATATACATATTTTAAATCTTTAGCCGTAGTGGATTGTACAGATGATCGAAATTAGTACACTGGCAAGGATCTGCAAAAAGAAGTTTACTGAATTGCACGTGGCCAGACGTTGTTGTAAGTAACAATTGGGGCGTAAGTAAAAGATAAATAAATATACGTAAGGTAAGTAAATTTACTCGCACAAACAGAAAATATACCGCTATCCAAATAAATAATCGATCTAACATAACAAAGGGAACTCTTTACAAAAAAAAAATAAGCACCAATCAATGAAACATAAAATGGTGTGTTCGGGAGATGCCAACCATTTTAACAGGAATACAAATCAACTAAACCTTACATCTTTCTTTCTTTTCTGAAGTGCTGTTAACATAAGACAAAAATAGATTGGTATTTTTTCATGAAAAATATAATGAAAAAGAGAAAAAGAAGAAATTGAAAGAACTGATGAAAAGACTGGATAGAAATAAAAGAAAATCAAATCAATAAGCGGAGCTGTAATAAATAAATAAAGGTAATAGGGAATGAAATATAATAGAAAAAAGATGTGGTTAACAATTAAAAGAAAGTATGAAAGAAATAGGGAATGAAATTTAATAGAAAAGAGATACGCTTAATAGATAAAAGAACGAAAGAAAGAAACGCTGAATAAAACACAGAAACAAAGAAAGAAAGAATAAAAAAAGAAATTAGGAATGAAATATAACAGAAAAGAGATGCGCTTAGTAGATAAAGAAAGAAACGAAGATATGAAAGAAAGAATGAAAGAAAGGATGAATGAAAGAAAGGAAGAAATAGGGAATGAAATATAATAGAAAAGAGATGCGCTTAGTAGATAAAGAAAGAAAGGAAGAATGAAAGAAAGAAAGAAAGAAAGAAAGAAAGAAATGAAAGGGGATGAAATATAATAGAAAAGAGATCCGCTTAATAGATAAAAGAACGAAAGAAACGAAGTCAGAATGAAAGAAAGACTAAAAGAAAGAATGAAAGAAAGAAATAGGGCATGAAATATAATAGAAAGGATATGCGCTTAGTAGATGAAAGGAAGAAAGAAAAAAAGAAAGGAAGAATGAAAGAAAGAAAGGAAGAATGAAAGAAAGGAAAAATAAAAGAAAGAAATAGGGCATGAAATATAATAGGAAAGAGATGCGCTTAATAGATAAAAGAAAGAAAGGAAGGAAGAAAGAAAGAAATAGGAATGAACTATAATAGAAAAGAGACACGCTTAATAGACAAAAAAGAAAGAAAGAAAGGAAGAATGAAAGAAAGAAATCGGGGATGAAACATAATAGAAAAGAGATGGGCTTAATAGAAAAATAAATAAAGAAAGAAAGAAAGAAAGAAAGAAAGAATTAAGGAATGAAACATAATAGGAAAAACATGTGGTTAACAGTTAAAATAAAAATTGGAATGAAATGAAATAAAAGTGAAAATGGAAATAGTTAAAAGATAAAAGAAAGGCATTTAAGAAAATGAAATATAATGGAAAATCAAAGATATAGAATATTTGAAAGGAAAGAAAAAATGAATAAAAAAAAACGGTAAGGTTTAAAAATTCGACAAAAGGCAAAAAGAAAAAAAAAAGCAAGACGAAACTAAGAGAAAACTAAAAATAAACACGAAATTATGAAGGCAATTAAAGCGAAGCGAAAAACAGAAGAAAGAGAAAAGAAAGACAGAAATAAAGTAGAAAAAAAAAACAATTAAAATACTGATGATAAAAACAACCAAGCGAGAATAAATGCGAGAAAGGAATACAAAAAGAAAGCAAC